AAAACACAAACACTTGAGGCAGTGAATACTTTTGATATGAATGTCAAAATCGGAATGCAGCTGACACTGACTTAAAGAAATGAAGCTCTCAGAGAACCCCAAGGATTTGCCCTTTGAGTATCCCTATATGCTGTGTACCTCTCTTATAGCAGTTATTACAATGTATTGTAATAAGATTTGCATGTTTGCTAATCATTATATTGTGAAACCCTGAGGGACAGGACTGAATGTATACAAATCTGTTTTCCCAGTACCTATCAGAGTAGATGGCATTAGTAGCATCTATAAAAACTTGTTTATGGGGATTTTGTTTGCGGATTAAGTAACACTTAAATAGAAAACTGATTTGATGAAAAATTGTAAAACAAGGCTGTTTGCTGGTTTGTAGAAATGCTTGACCACCAGTTCACCATTGAGTTTCATGTTTCAAAGCATTGTGTACTCAGTTGTTGTTGTTTTTTTTTTTTTTGAGACGGAGTTTTGCTCTTGTTACCCAGGCTGGAGTGCAATGGCGCGATCTCGGCTCACCGCAACCTCCGCCTCCTGGGTTCAGGCAATTCTCCTGCCTCAGCCTCCTGAGTAGCTGGGATTACAGGCACGTGCCACCATGCCCAGCTAATTTTTTTGTATTTTTAGTAGAGATGGGGTTTCACCATGTTGGCCAGGATGGTCTCGATCTCTTGACCTCGTGATCCACCCGCCTTGGCCTCCCAAAGTGCTGGGATTACAGGCTTGAGCCACCGCGCCTGGCTTTTTTTTTTTTTTTTTTTTTTTTTTTTTTTTTTTTTTGAGACAGAGTTTCGCTCTTATCACCCAGGCTGGAGTGCAATGGTGCAATCTCGGCTCACCGCAACCTCCGCCTCCTGGGTTCAGGCAATTCTCCTGCCTCAGCCTCCTGAGTAGCTGGGATTACAGGCATGCACCACCATGCCCAGCTAATTTTTTGTATTTTTAGTAGAGACGGGGTTTCACCATATTGACCAGGATGGTCTCGATCTCTTGACCTGGTGATCCACCCGCCTCGGCCTCCCAAAGTGCTGGGATTGTACTCAGCTTTTAAAAAGAGATTTATTGAGATATAACTAACATACCGTACAATTTGCCCTCTTCTCATATGCAACTCTGAGATTTTTTTCTGAAGAGAGATATAGAAAAAGAAAAGGGCAGAGGTCTCTTTTCCTTGAGTTGTACACTGATTTACACTGGGATGCTGTGCTGATAACAATATGTTGTAAATCACCGATCTAGATCCTTTTCTGTTTGGATTATGGGAAGAAGGTTACAAAGTGATACCTAAAGATAGGTAGAAGAGGACATAAATGGAAGGAAAGGAAAAGACGAAAAAGATTCTTCAATATGTTATTTATTTCATGCTAGGAGAAAGGAAGCTGTGGGGACTTTTTAATGTAAATCTGAACTTTGGACATTGTGTCTTTGAATATGCTGTAAGACTGATCCTAGAATCTGTCTCATTCCTTTAGATTTATCCAGGGACACATCCTTAGACTTGAGTTATTCTGCTCTCTTATTTTCCCAAATCTTACTGTGGTGGTTATCTATTGCTGCATGACCAATTATCCTAAAAACTAGTGCTTAAAGCAATAGTAACCATGTACTACATCACATAGTGTCTGTGGGTCTCCATTTCAGAAGTGGCTTAGCTGGGTGGTTCTGGCTTGGAGTGTCCCACAAGGTGGTGGTTAAGAAGCCGGCTGGGCCTTTGGTCATCTGAAGGCTTGACTGGGGCTGGAGGATTCATTCCCAAGAATGGCTCACTAACATCGATGGCAAACTGGTGCTGATTGTTGATATGATGCTTTAGTTTCTTGCCAGGGGACCCCTGCATGGGACTGCTAGAATACCTACAAGAGAGGACAACTGGCTTCTCTCTAAATAAGTGATCCAGGAAGGCATAAGGCAGAAGCTGCAATGTCTGTTATAAACTGGCCTTGATATTCTCACATCATAATTTCTGGAAAATCCTATTGGTTACACAAGTCAGTCCAATTCATTATGGAAAGGAATAAATAAGAATGAGAGTAAGTGAGGTAGGGATCACTGAGGGCCATCTGGAAGGCTAGCTACCACATTTATTTATTTATTAGAGACACAGTATTGCTCTATCTCCCAGGCTGGAGTGCAGTGGTGCAATCAGCTCACTACAGCCTCAACCTCCTGGGCTCAAGCAATCCTCCCATCTCAGCCTCCTGGGTAGCTGGGACTACAAGGGCCAGCTAATTAAAAACATATTTTTTGTAGAGACAGAGTCTCACTATGTTGCTAGGGCTGGTCTCCAACTCCAGGGCTCAAGGGATCCTCCTGCCTTGGACTCCCAAAGTGCTGGGATTACAAGTGTGAGCCACTATGTTCAGTTTATTTCTTAAAAGAGATATATACATATATATTTGAGTTATGTATATATACTTGAGATCTATCTATATCTATATCTCAAAGGGGATTACTCAACTCTGGTACCAGCTCTTGAATAACATATTACGTTGACATTTAGCCTGACGGAAAGAGTATCTCTGGGGATAGCTCGATAGTGCTTAAATGGAAAAGACTAGAGAAAAAGGGAGGCTTTTATTGCTAAGCCTAATTTCAATGAATCTGAACATTTTTTTCCCTATAAACTTTTTTTTAAAGACAGGGTATCACTGTTGCCCAGACTGGAGTGCAGTGGTACGATAATAGCTCACTGCAGCCTTGACCTCCAGGGCTCAAGCAATCTTCCTGTCTCAGCCTCCCAAGTAACTGGGACTACAAGGATATACTACTATGCCTGACTAATTAAAATTTTTTTGTGGCTAGGTGCTGTGGTTCACACCTGTAATCCCAGCACTTTGCGAGGCGGAGGCTGGTGTATCATTTGAGGTCAGAAGCTCCAAACCAGCCTAGGCAACATGTGAAACCCTGTCTCTACTAAAAATACAAAAATTAGCTGGGCGTGGTGGTGGGCACTTGTAATTCCAGTTACTTGAGAGGCTGAGGCAGGAGAATCACTTGAACCCAGGGGGCAGAGGTTGCAGAGAGCCAAGATCGCACCATTGCACTCTGTCCTGGGTGACAAGAGCAAAACTCTGTGTCCAAAAAATTTTTTTTTTTTTTTTTTTTTTTTTTTTTTTTTTTTTTTAGTAGAGACAAGGTCTCATTATGTTGCCCAGGCTGGTCTTGAACTCCTGGGCTCAACTGATCCTCCTGCCTCAGCCTCCCGAATAGCTAAGACTACAGAGGCATGCCACCATGCCTGGCTAATTAAAAAAAAAAAATTAAATCCATGTTTCTATGATAATTTTTTTTTTTTTTGGTAGAGAAGGAATCTCCTTATGTCTCCTTATGTTGCCCATTCTGGTCTTGAACTCCTGGACTCAGGTGATCCTCCCACCTCAGCCTCTCAAAGTGCTGGGATTATAGGTATTAGCCACTGTGCCTGGTCCCTATAAACTTCTTTAATTTTAAAGAAAAATATTTACAGGAACCCTAATATTTTCTAATTCAAATTACGTGATTGTCCAATACTCTGAAATGAGTGAAATATTCTATTAGACATAGTAATGGAAAAAGAAACTTGTGCTTTTAATCAGTAGAAATAAAAAAACGATTTGGCAACATCTTTATGTTTGCCTAGGACAAGATGACCTTATCATCACTTGCCTTTAATGTATATTTTGTCCTGCTTTTAATCCAAGGGTCTGGACATGACAGACAATAGAGACAGCTGCTGTTTCTAAAAGAATGTCAAGGGGCTGTGGCACTTCCTGAATAAGAAGAAACAGATTCTACAGCAACAGTTCCAAGATTGAATATAGGATTAATCATTTACCTTTCTATATTCTTAATCAGCTTTAATGACAACGCCACTTGAGCGAAGAAAAGGATTTAAAGTAAAATGAAGTTCATAATTCATTGCATTCTTCCATCCATGGCAGACCCCTGGGGGTCATTGTGATTCTTAAGTAGAAAGGATGTGGGACATATGAGAGATCTGAGTTTTGGTTTTGTCACTAATTAGTTTTATAACCTTAGGAAAGCTGTTTAGCCGTTTTAATGGGTTTACTCTACCGTACGTTGGTGGGCAAAGATGGGAGAGGCGCTTAATCTTAAGGTTTTCCTTCACCAAAGCGGCTGACACAATCAACACTAAATAGAAACACATTTTGCACAGCATCCTTGCTCTGCCCTCCTCGCTTTTCTTTGGAAGTCTTTATGGACCTCCCGTATTCTCTTGCTCAGCATCTCATACTGGTCTGCACTGGGGCTACTCATTGAATCTTTAGCTAGCGGTGTTTCACAAAGGGAATGAAATCTTGTTCTTGGATTGTGAAATCTTAAGGACACTACGGTCTCCAGGCTGACATTCGTTTATGGAAGTGCCCATTTCCTTTCCTCGTCACACCTAACGCCCTTCCCGCGTCCCACAAAGATGATCAGCTTCATGTTAGGCGGTTCTGGGGACTGCGCCAATTTGAAGGATCCTGGCGGCGCTGGTGCTGAGGAAGAGGATGGATCCTTAAGGCTTGCAGGGCCTCACGATTTGGGCCCTTCATCGCGACTGCCTCAGTGTGTAATTTCGTATCGTGACAAAGCATTTCCGATTTTATTCCGAAAAGCCCAACGCTGGGGTCACAACCATGCCTCTATAACCAATTTAACTGTCGAGCTAGGAGAACACCTATGTGCGCCAATTACTTGTCCCGGAAGCCCTACTTCTGCCTTCGGGACAGGCGGGGAGTTGAGGCTGTGGCTGGAACTACCAGTCCCAGAATTCCTTTGCGCATGCGCGCTGCCATTGTGATGCTCCTTTCCCGGTAACTCGCCCTCTCAGGCAAACCTGAAGATAGCGGCAATACTCCGGTGGGGGGCGGAGACGGTTTCTGCCCCATTCTCCGCCCCCTTCGTGATAGGCAATGGGACTAGCCAACCGACGCTGCGAGTTCGGAAAGCACTCTCCAATCAGCACCTGTAGCGGAGAGGTGGGCGTGCACGCTGGCAGGGCAGGTGGGCTAGGCTGTGTCGGGTTACGAGGGGGGAGAATAACGTCGGGTCGGGTCAGCGGGCGCTGCAGTAGTCGCCGCAGCGGCGATGGGAGCGGTGGGGACGAGGCGGCGGCGGCGGCGGCAGGAGGGGAAGCAGGTGCTGGCACAAGAGCAGAGGCTGGGGGGAGCCGGCAGCAGCAGTAACAGCAGCAGCCGCCGCCGCCGCCAGTAAACGCGGACCGTACCCTAAGGGACTACCCAGCCGGCCGGCCCTGGAAGCCGCGCTCGGGTCCCGTCGCAGTCGGCGGCGGGGGATGGGCAGGCAGTGGCGGTCCCGTCCGCCGAGGGTTAATCCCCTCCGGTCCCGGTCCTAAGCTGGACCAGAGTCCTCCACCAGAACCCCCGCGTCCGCCACGGCCCAGGTAGGACACACCCCCCGACCCCGCAGGGCGCCGCCCTCCCCTAGTCCAGACCCCCTCCTCTGGCCGCACCCCTCGCCGAGTGACCGAGCCTGCTGAGGAGGGGAAGGGTACCGGGGACTCTCAGGTCGCTGCAAGTTCCGGGCTCCTGCCAGACCCCGTCGCTCTCCACCCCGGAGATCGTTCTTGTTCTGTCCCATTTCCCCGGGGGCTGTCGCCCCGCTTTGCCCGAGGCTTTGGGTGTCTTCACTGAACTTGGAGGGTCACGGAGCTTCGTTCTGCGTCTGTCTCTGTGGGTGACCCACATATCACTTGTACTCATGCCACTTCTGGTACGAGCACCGAACACGAATTCCTAGGAAATCTGAGCGCCTGTTTCCCACCCCGCCTCCCCAACTATAATGGAAAGGAACATGGAACGGTAGAATCTGTTTGCTGTGTTGTAACGACAGTGAAGGCCGCGACTTTCTTGTACTTAGGGTGCTGAAGTAATGATCTGAGGGATTTGCTTGTCATTTGCTTTGACAGAGATGATGTTGACACCCTGGGATGCTGTGGGAGGGACAAAAGACCCGCGTATATGTTCTGTCAAGTCAGAGAAGTAAATAATCCATTGGAATGCTTTATCCTACAGCGAAGTTAATTTTGTTTCCGTCGGCTACGGTAGAGGTAAAAATGACATTGAGTTGTACTTTACTTTGAATTAAAGTTGATGGGTAGCAGCAATCCTGGTATTAACTCTTCTCTCCCATCGCTTTAGAAGTTGTTCTTGGTTTGAACATTAATGTGGACAGTTTTATTATAGACTTTTAATAATATGAAGATGTTTCATTCAGTAGAAATTGAGTTTCTGTGTGTGTAGGAGGGTCATGAATGGGTACATGCAGACAACACATACACACACACAGGGAGGATCCACTCAGTGTGTTTTGTTACAACGTTTGGTTCTGAGCCATTAATAACAGTTGCATTGGTATCTAAATCCTGATTTGCCACAATATACCACAAAGATATGTTGACTCTATTTTTGGCTAAATGGAATAGAATAACGTTCATTTGGGGATAGAAGGGGGAAATGATTTTAACATATCGAGGGAATTGAATGCTAAGTATTGCTGCTTTCTTTCCTTTTTTTTTTTTTTTTAATAAAAAAGCAGTAATGATGACAAATACAGCTTAATATGCCTAATCTTGAGGCATTTATCTGAAGTCAAAAGCTGTTTCAAATAATAAGTGTGTGGTATATTGTGATCTATGCAAATTGAAGACATATTGAGGGAAATCTTTGATTTAGAAGCTTATGTTTTCCAGTATGATAACATTTTATCATGACACTGAAAGGGACATTTGAAACATGATTATAAAGGAAAGTTTCTCTCAAATTTTTCTTTTGTTATAGAATGTTAGGAAATGTTTTTTCCCTCTTCCAGTTTTAGATATACAAGAAATTAAAGTCTATAACTTCATTAATTTAATATATAATATCAAGTTGATGCAAATTTGTACATTGGTAGGGGGCTGACTGAGAATAGTATATCTTGCTCATTATCTTGTACTATGGTTAATACATAATTTAGTAAATTATTGCATTATATATGACTTCAGTTTTTTCGTGTCTTCTTTTGACTTTACTGATTATTTTAATACTTCAGGAACTCTTCATGAGGTTAGACCTCATTTGCTTTAGCAAATTGAACTCAATTATGTGGGGCTTCAAATATCTTTAAATGTAATGGTAGAAGGGAACTTTGTATAATTTAGACAATTTTGAGGGCCTTTTACATCTAAAAAGTACACTAAAAATATGGCAGCAATAAGTAACTGGTTTTTTAAAGTAAATGAATATTACAAATCAGAGTTAACTGTGATCATGGAATTTAAATTTCACTTTGGTGGGGGGGCAGCCAGTTTTTTATATGCTTTATAACTTTGAAAAGTAACATATATCCAGATGACTGCTTGATTACAACTCATAAGAGACTCTGAGCCAGAACCAGCTACCTAAGACATTTTCAGGTTCTAATCCTCAGAAACTGTGTGAGATAAGAAATGTTTGTTGCTTTAAAAAAAAAAAAAAAAAAAAAAAAAGCTTATGCCTGTAATCTCAGCGCTTCGGGAGGCCAAGGCAGGAGGGTTACTTGAGCCCAGGAGTTTGAGACCAGTTTAGGCAACATAGGGAGATTCTGTCTCTACAAACAAACAAACCAAAATTTGGCTGGGCATGGTGGCTCACACATATAGTTCCAGCTACTAGGGAGGCTGAGGGGGAGAATCAGAGGTTGAGGCTGCTGTGAGCTGTAACCACTCCACTGCGCTCCAGCCTGGGTGACAGATAAGATCCCATCTTAAAAAAAAAAAGTGTATATATATAAACTCTGACAAAGGAAAGTGTTTATGATCATTATTGAACTAGTGGAGACTGTGTTGATCAGCAAAATAAAACAGTCTTTGAGAATTATGGAAAATATAGCTTACTTCTTTCCCCACTTTAAAAAAAAAAAGCCCTTATAGGAAATATTCTTTTATAAATATATAGCAAGCAGTCTTTTCAATTTGAGGTTATGCTGCTCAAAATTACTGTAGTCATGTATTCATTTTTTTGCTCTTACTGAGGTCTTTGAGAGACACTGAAAATACAGCTGGAGCTATTTCTGTTTATTTGATTAGTAATATTGCAACATACCTTCTATATTTATGGATTTTTAAAAATTAAATACATTTTATTCAGTTTTATTTCCTAGTCTTTTTTTTTTTTTTTTTTCTGTCATCCAGCACATTGTAAGCAATGTGTGGTAGTGGATTTTTTTCCCCCAGGCTTCAGTGGATAGAACCTTTTATGCTGAAAATACTGAATGCTTTCAAGTTAAATATTGTACTTCTATATTTGGTGAAAGAGCCTTTAAGTTCATTTGAAAAAAATTCAGTGTTTGGAACTAAATTTTGAGCCTAAGGACAACACACATTACTACTCAAAACAGTTTCTGCCTCTTTAAAATCTGGCGATCCTTGATTATAGGTTTACAATACAGATTGAAATTATATCATTACATAATATGAATGTCAGTTTTGCTAGAAAATTTCATCTTTTTAGTAGGTGATTTTTAAGTAGATTTCTTAGTATAATTTCATTAATGTCATATGACTTTATTCTTGATACTTAAGTGAACATATAGTACTTATAAACTTTTGTGAACATTTTGGATTTTTTTTTTTGTATATATAATCCTTGGTGTTTTAGAATGTTTATAGCTGTTTTTTATTATATTATAGGAATTTGCTTTCACTTCAATTAGAGTAAAGCTTCCCAATGTAAAAAACTAAATGTCCTTTGAAAAGAATCAGGGATGTAATAGTGTCTCCTGAAGAGTGTAAGTTAGGGCTGGGTGTGGTGGCTCACGCCTGTAATCCCAACACTTTGGGAGGCCAAGGCAGGTGGATCACAAGGTCAGGAGTTGGAGACCAGCCTGGCCAATATGGTGAAACCCCTTCTCTACTAAAAACACAACAATTGGCCAGCTGTGGTGGCATGTGCCTGTAGTCCCAGGTACTCTGGAGACTGAGGCAGGAGAATCTCTTGAACTTGGGAGGTGGAGGTTGCCGTGTACCGAGATTGCACCACTGCATTCCAGCCTGGGTGACAGAGCAAGACTCCGTCTCAAAAAAAAAAAGTAGAAGTTAGTAAATATCTTCTTGGCTTCCTTTGGTAAGCTATCGAGACTTAACCATGTTTTCAGAAACTTTTTTCAACAGAGAATCAACATCTTTATTGAAAGTAAGAATCAGCATTTTAAAATGTTTGAATTAGAAAACATTTGCCATTATATTTTTTACCGAAAGGCTTTTATAATTAATATTTTTGTATTTGTCTTTTTCTTTCTGCAGTTTCAAAGTAGTTGCCTTTAAAAAAAAAGAAATTACAGTTTCCCTCATCTTGTTCTAACCATATGATCATTGAAATAATGATTTTGTTTATATTTGTCCAACAGTTAATTTTCCACACGTTGTATATTATAGATGAAGTTTGTAAAGTCTTTTTAAACTTTTTTATCCACCAAGTGCTTCAGTTTCTAAAATAGCTAAAATTTTATCAGGATTTTTCAGCCAGGTACAGTGGCTCACATCTGTCATCCCAGCACTTTGGGAGGCCAAGGTGGGTGAATCACCTGAGGTCAGGAGTTGGAGACCAGTCTGGCTGACATGATGAAACCACATCTCAACTAAAAATAGAAAAATTAGCCAGGTATAGTGGCACATGCCTGTAATCCCAGCTACTCAGGAGGCTGAGGCAGGACAATTGCTTGAACCTAGGAGACGGAGGTTGCAGTGAGCCAAGATTTTCTCACTGCTCTCCTGCCTGGGTGACAGAGCGAGACTGTGTCTCAAAAACAAAAACATAAAAACAGTTTTTGATGACCAATAAAGCAAAGATGTGGGGGGCAGAAATAGGAAACAAATGAATCACCAAAGAAAGAAATATGAGCCTTGCCTTTCATGAAATTTGATTTAAGAAAAATCATCTGGAAGCTAAATTATATGGTAGATAATAAACTAGATTGGTACTTCATTTCTGCTGGACTTCCCTAGCATTTAAAATATTCAACATATCCGAGACAAAAGTCAGTTCTCTTTTTAACTTCCTTAATTCTATAAATAAAGGCATTATCATTGAGTCATACAGGATCAAAACATACAGACACTCTCTCCGTCTTTTGTTTTTTATTTTTTATTTTTGCTCCCTATTTCCCATAGTTCTACTCACACAAAACCTCTGCTTTCTTTCTGTTTTTTTGAGACAGGGTTTTGCTGTGTTGCCCACGCTGGAGTGCCATGATCATAGGTCACTGCAGCCTTGACCTCCTGGGCTCAGGCAATCCTCCCACCTTAGACTCTTGGGTAGCTGGGACTATAGACATGTGCCACCACACCTGGCTAATTTTTAAAATGTTTGTATAGGTGAGGGTCCCACTGTGTTGCCCAGGCTGGTCTTGAACTCCTGAGTTCAA